CTAATGCACACCCAGTCATTCCTCTCTATACTCAGGCCTGAAATATGACAGAAACCACTCAGTGCAGAAAAGAGCTTCAAGGGTTAGTGCTAAAATAATAAAATCACGGGGGAAAAGAGTTAATGTATAGAAGTCAGACTGAACTGAAAGACTGTTTCAGAAAAAGCCTACATGCTTAACTTGCATCTGTTTTAAAATTAGCCAGTCACACACTGAGTCAGTGGATAAACTGGGAATACCTATAGCATACTAAGAATAGGATATGGCGTTAATTGGAACAAGTGTCAGGGAGGTTCTGCTCGGAGCTGTAGCACTAAATAAAAGTGAGAAGGTATGATATTCCTTCCTCTCAACATTAAAATGTGTTTGACCTAGAATGGCACATTTGTAGAGAAACTTTTGCGCTATCACCTTAAGTCATATGAATATGTGGATTTTGGCTCTTGTGTAGGCTCACGGATGTCAGCTGGTGATATTTGACAGCTTTAGACCTAATCTCGCTGTAAGAAGCTTGAGAACTACAAATATATGCCAGGAGCAAGAGCTGAGGAGCTTGCGAGCGCTGCATGTCGACTGTCACTGCTAATCAGGCTGTGTAGTGAAGAAGACATGTCACAGGTATATTCATGGATTTATTGTAGTCTTTATTAATGTGCTATTAAGCCGGCTGAAATGATTTTTTTAAAGTTTATAAAATATATTACAACCTAATGTACAACCAAAACCTTATATATATACTTCCAAATAATCCTGGATGTTTGACCTTCACAGTACGGTATTATGCAGGTTTCATACACAGGCTCTTTGAGTTTGACACTTGAAGAAAAATGTTTTCCTGAGCTCATCTAAAACAAGAATGTAAAGCATGCACTTGCAAGCATGATTTGAAAATTATGGCTTGGAGATTTATTACATATTCATAGAATCTGGGTTGCTCATTTTAAAAGAGGAGACGTCAACGTCATCCTACAATTTTCTAACCACTTAAATGGAAAAGGGAAAACCACAAACAGCATGATTTGTAACTCAAAACAGAGCAGAGGACATCTTTTATCTAATTCTGGATGTGTGGATGTGGCTCTTTCATTCAAAAGACTGCAACGTGCAACAAGTGGTGTGTGTTTGAATAATATACCTGCACATACTGCTCTTCCTGGAACCTGTGCTACTGGGGGAAGAAGGAGGGGTCTGGTAGGACCAGCTATAATCAGAACCTTTTAGGTCCCGGATCACCTGCAGGAACACAAACAAATGGGGATTTAGACATAGACAAGTCTCTTTTCAAATATGGGAAAAAAGACGAGAACCAACAAGATAAATCCACAAGCTGCCGAGAAGTAAAGGTTA